GGGGACTCTCAGCCCTGAAACAGGCGAAGACGAATGGCGCTGGCGCAACTACTTAAGCCGGACAGAACTCGGATGGCTTATTGACCATCGGGTTCAATCTCAGACTGTGTTCCCTGCAGCCGGATACATATCAATGGCATTGGAAGCAGCTGCAAAAGCCGCACGTGGCCAACCTCTGCGGTTGGTGGAATTCGATGATGTGCGCATCCACTGTGCTGTTCCTATTCCTGACGATCCACAGGGTGTGGAGATAATCTCGAAATTAGGCATTATGAAATCAGAAAGCGATGTCATCATTGCAGCCTTCCAATGCTACGCTAGTATTGCTGGGAAACTAAAGACATGCGCCTCCGGAGAACTGACTGTGTCATTTGGGGAACAAGATGCTATGTCTTTGCCCCCTAGATCGTCTATACCAGATGTTTCTCACTCAATGGACATAACTGAATTCTACGCATCTCTGAAAAGTCTTGGTCTCGGTTACAACGGTCCCTTCCAAGGGCTGAAGGCTCTTACGAGACAAGCGAGTGGGTGGACAGGCATAGTTTCAGGGACCGAGCTGGGCTCGTCTTTGCTGCTACATCCAGCCATCATTGACTCCAGCTTGCAGGCCTTGTTAGCGGCGAGGAACATCGATGAAGTCCACACACTACATGTTCCTGTGTCCATCGAGCACATCGCAATTAACCCGCAGTTGTGCAAGCCCAGCTCAGTGGAGGTCATGACCGAGCTTGCTGTCGAAGCCTTCCTTGATAGTGACAGCCCAGATGGCATGACAGGGGATATCAACGTATTTGACCCTGACGGCCACGGGGTCTACCAAATCGAGGGCTTCCATGTGGCTCCGATTTCAACTCCCGAGGATCGTGGCATCTTTTCCAAGATTGTCTGGGGCCCGTTGCTGCCACAAGCTGTTTCAAAAAGCGTATACCAGGATTGTCAAAACACAGAAGAGATTCAGTGGGCGGAACGCTGCGCTCTTTTGTATATTAGAGATGCACGGAGGCAGCTTTCCGCAGAGGAATGCAAAAGCCTTGACCAACACCGGTCTAGAGTCTTGGAGTGGATGGATCAGGTTCTCTGTACAACACACGACGGCTCCCATCCGATATGTCGTCCAGATTGGCTAGACGGCGCCCTGGAAGATGCTCTCGACAAAGCTACGAATACGGCACGCATAGGTAGCGATCCCTGGGATCAGCTTCGGATAGCAGGTGATAATATTTTGGACTTCCTTAGAGGAACAAGCAAAGTGATCGACCTTCCTTGTCAGAATGGCCAGTTGGATGGGGTTTATAAGGATCTGTTTGAAAACGAGCGCAGCCGTTCGCAGCTTGCAGTGCTCGTTAGCCAGATCGCTTTCCGCTACCCTCATATGAAAATACTCGAGCTTAATGGAGAAAGGGGTCTGGCCACGGAATCGATTCTGAGGGAAATAAAACGTTCATATCAATCTTATACCTTCACAAATAATTCTCCAACATCCTTTGCGGAGGTACAAGAAAGACTTGCTCAACACAAAGATCGGATTTCTTACCAGGTGCTTAATATTTTGTCAGATCCCGTACAGCAAGACTTCAGGGAGCACTCATATGACCTTATTGTCGCAGCTGATATGATTTGGTGTGCTGAAAGCCTGGTGCAGACCTTGGAAAACATTCGACGCCTGCTCAAGCCCGGTGGATATTTGGTCGTTCGTACCGGCACCAACACGAATATCAATCGCCTCGGGCTGATAGTCAGCTCTCTCAAAAGATGGTGGTCCGACGAGAACGGCAACCCTCAGAGCCCGGTGGTTAGCCTCCAAAAATGGGATCTGCTGCTCAAGACGACTGGTTTTGGAGGACTCGAAGCGGTGTCGTCGGCTGATCGCTTTGGATATGAATCGACCTTTGTCACGCAGGCAATCGATGATCGTATCCAACTGCTCCGCGAACCCTGGGATTTCAAAGTTACACTATCAGATAGTCTACTCCTCATCGGTGGAGCGACGGGAGCAACATCGGATATGATATCGGCTTTAGAAGCCTTACTCAGACCGTGCTTCCGTCAATTAGTTCTTGTACAAAGGCTCGATGTACTAGAATTGGATGACATATATGGCTGGTGTGTATTGAATCTGACCGATTTAGACTCGCCTTGCTACGAGAATATCACAGCCCAGTGTCTCGCCAGCCTCAAGATGGTTATGAACAGCGCCAGCAGACTTCTTTGGGTGACGAGTGGCCCAGAAAGCAAGCAGCCCTACTTGAGCATGAGTAAGGCTACTGTTCACTGCCTCACCTATGAGAATCCCCAGTCCATCTTTCAGTACCTCAATATACCTAACAGTCAAGAGGTCACCGCACCTACTCTTGCCAATATTTTCATGCAGTTGGTCCACACATATGAGGACAATAATGATGGCCTGGATGTCTGCCTGCATAGTACAGAATTTGAGCTACGGCTTGTAAATGGGGTGCTGAATATTCCGCGAATCCAGTTTGACGACACCAAGAATCAACGGTATTTTGCAAGCCATCGCACAGTCAATGGCTTAGTTGACCTGCAAGATTCCACTGTACAGATTGTTGCCCCGTCAACTATACGCAGTGAGTTCATACTGCGCGAAAGCCTGCAATCCAGGCAAGAAGGAGGTGATCGCAATGCTGCAACCCATCGTCGACTTGTTGTACGTTTTTCGACAATAACTGCCTATAAGGTGGAAGGCGCTGGCTTTCTGCATTTAGTCATCGGTCGAGATGAAAATGATAATACACGTTGGCTGGCACTATCAGAGCAACATGCATCAGCTATTGTGGCGCCACTCAGGTGGTGCTGGCGGCTCCCAGACAGCGTTCCTGAGGGCCTAGAAGCTACTGTCTTGATGCGAACAGCTGCTGCCCTGTTGGCCACTTATGTCGTCGACAAAGCGCCCCCCGACACAATGGTCATGATCTATAAGGCCGAAACTTTATGCACGGTTGTGTGTGATGCTGTCTCAGCCTTTGCTCTTGCACGAAATGTTCGGGTATTGTTCGTGACCAATGTCCAAGCCGCAGTGCCAACGACTGGTGTGCTGTATATTCACGAGAGAAGCTCTTCTCGTACTTTATCTCGCCTTTTGCCGAAAGACATTTCTGTCATTGTCCGCTGTACTCAAAGTGCGAGCAGCGCTTACGATCGAATCATATCTCTCCTGCCCGAGGATGTTGTGAAAGTTGATATCTCTAATTTGGGCAGAACGTCGTCAAAATTATTGCGGCCTGCTAGTCCGATCACCGTTGGGCAAACATTCTTCGCAGCCTGTGAGTTTGCGCTACAAACGGCTACCTTGCAGGAAAAATTTCAGCTTGTCCCTGTTCAGAACTTGCAGGGTGTTTCCCAGGGAATGGATCAGTTGGAGATCGTAGACTGGACCCAGCCAGGCCAAGTCCGTATTCAAATTCAAACAGCAAGCTCCATGGTCTCACTATCCCCACAAAAGACATACTTGCTTGTCGGGATGACTGGTGACCTTGGAAGATCCGTCTGTCAGTGGATGGTCAGTAAAGGAGCCCGAACTGTGGTCCTTGGCAGTCGTTCCCCAAATATTGATGCGCAGTGGATTTTGGAGATGGAACGACTGGGCGCTCAAGTTTTTCCAATGGCAATGTAAGTGTCTATCCTGACAGTATGTCGAGGCAAATATTGATAAACTGTACCAGTGATGTCACCAACCGAGAATCTGTGTGTCGTGCCTATGCTTTTATACGTGAATCACTACCTCCGATTGGGGGAGTAGCCAACGGAGCGATGGTGCTCAAGGACTGTCTCTTTGCTCAAACGACGCTAGAGGATATACAGAGCGTCATGGCCCCAAAAGTTCAAGGCAGTATTATCCTGAGCGAGGTGTTCGGTAACCTGGACCTAGAGTTCTTTATTCTCTTTGGATCAGCTGCTGGACCGCTGGGCAATGTTGGCCAGACAGCCTATTCAGCCGCCACTGAATTCATGTCAGCGCTCATCAATCAGCGGCACGAGAAAGGTCTAATCGGCAGTATTATTCATCCAGGACTGATCAAAGGGGTAGGATACTTCGCAAGAGCAGATAGTGCAGTTCAAAACTTGATTGAGCGGAACACTGGAGCTTCCAACTTCACTGAACGAGACCTGCATGAGCTCTTCGCAGAGGGTATTCTTGCAGGACATCCAAATTTCGGCAGCAACCCTGAAGTAATTGCTGGCTACCAGGTAATAAACGCTGCAGAGAACCCGAACGCGTTATGGTTGCGGAATCCGAAGGCGTGGAATCTCATTACCCATGCGGCTAACCCGACCACATCTGCATCCGGTACTAACGCCAATGTTTCGGCGGGGATGCAAATCAAGCTGGCAAAGAGCACTGCTGAAGCCAGGGAGATAATAACCGAGGGGTTTATCAAGGAAGTGCGCTCCAGGCTGCAACTATCCGCCGAAGAACCGCTCACTGGAGCATCCGCATTGACCGAGATGGGGGTAGACTCTCTGGTGGCTATTGAGCTGCGGCATTGGTTCGTTAGGGAGCTGTCTGTTGACATTCCTGTGCTGCAGATTATTGGGGGTTCTTCTATCCAAGAGCTGGCTGGAGTCGCTGCATCAAAGCTTTCAAAGGAATCCATGCCGGATGCTCAGACGGAAGTAGTTCCAACGAGCGGTACTGATGCTTGACACCTGTGTGATACTCGCTGCGCAGTCCACCGCAAATGGTCACTCTATTTGTATCTCTCAGCAGTTTACAAGTAGATGGAATTTATCTGTATGTAGTAGTCGCTTTAGCTATAGGGGTAATTCAACAACAAACATGTCTCAGGTTTGTATAGAAACTGATGTCATCCAAGGGTCACCATGCACTAGACCGAATAAGGAAACATACTGTCCCCGTCAATAGCGCTAAACCGTATCCAGCAAGCTCGTTATCTGGCGCATCGCATCGCCTCCCATCATCTTCCTCCAGTACCAAACACCCATCTCACTCTTCACTCCCCCAAATCGACACAAGCATGGCATCCGAACCCAAGACCTACGTGTCTGGGGGACGCGTTCTCGCAAGGTAAATCCCCATCCATCCATGAATGATAACCTCTCACCATCTACAAAAGCCATGACTAACAGTTCACCCTCCATCCAGTCCCCCCATCACAGTCCGCATCATCCGCTTCGTCGAGAACATCTACCTCTTCCTCGGATTATACATCGTCAGCCTATTCTCGGTATGCGCTACACCCACATTCATACTCCAAGCAGTGTCTATATCCATCTGACTGCTGTACTAATTGGTATATGTATGATCTAGCTGGACCCCTACACCGCAGCCCAAAACTCCCGATTCAACGTTACTCATTCAGGAAAGACTCCCAATACTCGTGCTCGCTGGGGCAGTGGAGGTGGAGGTGGAGGCGGTTCCTGGGGACCGGGCGGCGGCGGTGGTGGTGGTGGACCGGGAGGACCTGGGAGGAGGATCGGTCGGGTGGATGATATTCGTGGCCCGGAGTGTAAGAGCTGTGGTTGATTTGGGGATGTGCGTTTAAATGGGGGCTTGGGGAATGAGATGTAGTGGGATTGAAGGGATGGGAGTTCGATAGGGCGCTCTTTATTGATTATACTATGGATTGGAATAATGGAATGGAGTTGTTGTGATTGGATGATTTGTGATGGATGGGATGTGTAGGGGTTTGGTATGGCTTGTAGAAGAGTCATTCTTGATGCTTTGCGTAGTTGTAGTTATGATAGTCTTAATAAGAGATATCTACAAACAAGCGGCGATCGACGACGCCGTTGATTCCCATGTGGGAAAGGCAATGGATGGATGCCCCGCAAAAGAGGGGCCGGTGCCGGGAAATCATCTGAGCTTCAGTACTTCCCAGACCCAACTAGCTCGCTAATTTATTTCCTCTCTTACATCAAGTCCGTTGCATCCGTTTGCTGTGGTTGTTCATACAATTTTCGAAGATATTGACGAGGGCACAAGCGTCCCATCCAGCATCACACTATGTCTACACCACAAACCGACGCCGAAAGGGCGACGCTGATCTCCGGCATCCAACAATCCCTCCCAACGACCTTCCCTTCATATGACATTTCATCTGAAATCAATCGTACCATAGACCACACTCAGCTAGCCTTGACAGCAACGGAGCAACAGATCGACGACCTCTGTCAGGAAGCCATCCAGCACCAATTCGCGACAGTCTGCGTGCGACTGAACCATGTTTCTCGAGCAGTCCAGAACCTGAAAGAACATCCAGCCGTTGGAGTAGCCTGTGTTGTTGGATTTCACGAGGGAACTTACAAGACGGACGAAAAGACAGCTGAAGCGAAGGAGGCAGTAAATCTGGGAGCGTCTGAGCTCGACATGGTGCTCAACTACCCTCTTCTACAAGAGGGGAAGTACAAGGATGTCTATGCGGACGTGCTGGAAGTGCGCAAAGCAGCCCCGACACCCGTTGGATTAAAGGTCATCTTGGAGACGTCTCAGTTGACTCGCGAGCAGATCATAGCGGGCTCGGTGCTGGCGTGTGTAGCTGGAGCGGATTACATCAAGACTAGTACTGGGTTCAATGGGCCCGGAGCGAACTTGGAGAACGTTGCTCTTATGCGAGAGACGGCCAATCTGGTTGGAAAGGGCACCAAGGTCAAGGCCAGTGGAGGAGTACGGTCAGCAGAGGACTGTCGCAAGATGTTGCAAGCAGGAGCGGCGCGTATTGGGAGCAGTTCGGGGGTGAAGATTATGCAGGAGGAGAAGACGGGAATTGCTAGTAGTGGTAGTGGTAGTGGTTACTGAACGGAAAATGTATCCGATTATGTGGAAACGTACTTGGAGGGTGCTTTTCTTAAGGAGCATCTATAGTTTGGATTGAGCAATTACTATAGAGTAACCTCGTCAGGATGTTGACTTAACGTTGGTGGAGACGGTGGAGCTCAACGTCATCGTCAGGAAGTGTGATCGGTCAACCAAAGCCTTCGAACTAGTCCACTATGTGTTGTTTGGGCCATCCCCTGCTCCACGAAAGGATCTTTAGTCTCGTCGAATGAAGTAAGGGTTCGTCCCTGAAAGTCTCTTTTCCGTCCTCCACATCCCCTTCTCATCATCCTTCATCGCTCTCTACTCCTTTCTGCTGCCCTGCGATGCGCCGTCCCAACTATAAGGTACGTCAATGACAGCTTACACCCCCTTGTAATAGCAGTGTCTGACATGAGAATGCTTTGTCCATGTAGAGACGCAAGACTACCCACGAAGATAGTCCTTCGTCGCACCACAATGGCACAACCAATTCCCTATTCACCGAAAAGCCCTCAGCCGTCTTCCACCCCAAGGGTGGCCGATCGCATACTCTCAGCGTTGCCATTCCGGGCAGCATCATAGCCAAGTAATCTCCCCTCGATCAATGCACCCTAGGGGCTACTGATGTAGTCAACCACTAACATCTGCTGTACAGCGCGCATTCTGTCGAGCAAAAGACCCTCCTAGCCGGTGTGATCGCGCGCGCCCTCGCCGTCTTCTGCGTCGACGAAGTCGTGGTCTTTGACGATGATGAAAATGGTGCATACTGTGACTTTCATGAGCATTATTATCACGATAACTCACCCAGTGCCAAAACTAGAAACCAAATGGATGGCGGTGCATCCTCTCCCAAAGCCTATACCGCGAATTCGGACCCTTCACACTTCCTGACTCACATTCTGTCGTACCTCGAGACTCCACCGTACTTGCGCAAACACCTCTTTCCCATCCATCCCAATCTTCGCACAGCTGGTTTGCTACCCAGCTTGGATATGCCCCATCACTTGCGTGCCAATGAGTGGTGCGACTTCCGTGAAGGCATTGTTGTTTCTAGTCCTGGCCGATATTCAGCGCGAAACAGACATTCGGCCAGCAAGGTCACTCAGATGGGCAATGATCATCAGTTCCACCATCATAGCAGCTCTACTGACAATGGCCCTGTCACAATTGTGGACACGGGTCTCTCACAAAAAATAATTCTTCCAAACATCCACCTTCCAGAACATGCCCGAGTAACAGTCCGATTTCCCCAGCATGAATCCCCGTATGCAGAATCCGTACACCCATCCACTCCTCGGGTAGAAGCGGGGTATTACTGGGGCTACTATGTGCGACGATGTCGGTCTCTCTCTTCCATATTCACTGAGTGTCCTTATGACGGTGGCTATGACCTCTCCTTCGGCACGTCCGAGCGTGGTAGGCCTATCTCCACAGTGCTAGAAGAGAAGCCCCAACAAGCACACGATCGCTACGAGCAAGACCACCCTCCTGATCGCGAACAGCGTCCTCCAGACTTTCAGCATATCCTCATTGTTTTTGGTGGTGTTGCTGGGATCGAGGCAGCTGTCCGGAACGATCCCCAACTCCGCGACATGGCCATTCGCCCATCAGATGCCGACAAACTCTTCGACTACTGGGTAAATTTCCTACCCGGACAGGGAAGCAGAACCATCCGCACGGAGGAAGCCGTTTGGATGGGGCTGACGAGTCTCCACGGCCTGTTTGATGGCACCCACCGGCTGAAAAAGGCATACAAATATCATCACGACGGCTAATATTTCCAGCTCCCATGATAGGCGCTCAATCCAGATCCAGGTGAGAAATCAAAATCCTTGCCTTGCGTCTATCTGTCTTTTTATTTCCCTACCCATCAGTCCAGTTTCCAAACCGCCGCCACCGTCTGGAACGGGCGTGCTGGATTCCGCATATACAAGCACAACCCTAACCCACCTGCCACGACAACACCCATGGCAAATTCCCAACGCAAAAACCCTCCCCCCATATCTGCCAAGCCAGCAAAACCTGTACAACGTAACCTTATCAGCTATCAAATAACGAATTTTTCTCCTCAGAATTCCTAGCACTTATGAAGATGAAGTAGCCCAGACACCCTCAAAACCCCATGGAATGAAGCAAAGCAAATAATATCCTTATTTTCGTATTACATACTTTTTCACAATAAACACTACTATCACGTAGTTCCCATAAATTAATTTCAAATTATTTAGATATCATGCGCGGAATGTAACCACATACGTTGTACAACGTCGAATGAATTTGAAATGTTCCCCAGCCCGCATGATGCATTACGGACGGTGGTGGTGGTGGTGTGTGTGTCTCCACACCATGCATACCAGAGGCCCTGCGAGTCCACATTCCTCCGTTTCGACCATTTGACAGCCACTTTCGTTTCATCCGCGGGTTGGGGGCGCGCACATATTGTGTGTTTCATCGGGTGGTTCTGGGTGTTTTGTGGTTGCAGCCTGGGGTTTTGGGGGAGGCGGGTTATTATTATTATCATGTAGGGTATCATATTAATTAAATCAGTCAGTTTTCAAGACTTTTTGGTAGTACTCAGTGGTCATAGGATAGTAAGTAAGTAGTATGGCGTAAAGAGTTGGTGAGACTTTTATCTATTACCCTTATGTCTATATACAATACAAGACTCCGTGTGTCTATCAATCCCAAGAAGAGTAGTAGTTTGTAGGAAAGACATGCATCGTGTGAATTTGTCATTTCATTGAGACTTTTTGTGTTGTGTGACCTTTTGCGCCTGTCGAATGATGTACTGTAAAAAAGGGGAAATGCGGGTCCGATAAGTGGTTTGATCATGCAATTAAAATTTGTAGAGTAGTAATGGATAGAGAAAAAGAGTCTACTCATCACTGCTCTGATCATCCGTATCGCTCGTCATGACGGTATCCTCGGCGTCCATCTTCCGGAGAACAGCATCTCCCTTCTTGCCCTTCTTTTCGGCTGCGAACCAGGCCTCCCGACGGCGGGTCTCCCGCTCTTCTTTCCGCGCCTGTCGGAGGATCTTCTCCCGCTGCGCCTGTTCTTGTTTCTCGTGAAGCTCGTTGATATAATCGTGCAGGTTGGCGAGATCAGAGCGAAGCTTAGTTACTTCGTCTGTTGTGGACTGGCGGGCGGTCTCGTTCACAGAGGACTTTTTCTTCAGCGTGGCGAGTTCTGCCTCCAGTTGGGATATTTGTGAGTCCTTGGCCGCTAGGTCTTCGTCGCTAATGCCCTGTGCTATCGAGGAGACCGGGGCTCCGTTGCTAGTGGGCTGGCTGAAGGCAGCGAGTTCGGCGAGGCCTTCTTCGAGCATGGATTCAGGGAAGTACGCGTGGGAGAAGGCTTCGGTGAATTGGTCGGGCTTAGCAGAGTTGGGCTTGGATGAGATAGATGGGAGGAGATGCGTGCTAAAGGTGTAATCGGCTGGAACGGCGCCAGCTGCTTGAGAGGTTTCGGACAGGGAAGAGTCGTAGCGGGGCTTGACGATGGTGTGTGCTACCCGCTTGAGGTCGAGGGAAGGATGAGGGAGACCGTTGGGAGGAAGCATGAACAGGTTCGTGACAGGATGTGTATAGTCTGCCACGGTTGAGGCGTACTTCTTCCTTCCAACTGTCCATGACAGAACTTTGCCATTCTGATGGCCAGAGAGCAACGTCATTCCATCGTAGCAGAGGGTAAGCGCATGCGCCGCGCCGCAATCAGCCGATGGCGGTGCCCAGCGATCTTCTGCGGGAGGCTGCGAAGGAGTAGATTGAAGGGAGGGGTCGTGGAGAGGGTTCTGGATGGACTGGTTCTTGTAGAAGTCGATCGACTGGATACTGCCATCTTCGTATCCGACATAGAAAGCCCGGTCGGCCGGGTCAAGTGCCAGCGACTTCGCATTGGACGGCAAGAGGAAGGTACGCAGAAGACGGCCGGTGTGATAATCCCAGGCAATGGCTGTGCTATCATCTGCAGCAGACACAGCAATGTTGTATCGACCGGCGCTGTGACCCACAGCGATGGCGGTGATGGCGGCGCGGTGGTTGGAAAAGGTACGGATGGGAGAGTTCGGAGGCTGACGATCACGGCCGGATGGAGGCTTCGTGAAGGATAAGAGATCCACTAACGACCAAACATGAATGCTGGCATCGGACGAACCCGACAGGATGAAGTTGGAATTGGGATCGACCACGAGTGAGGTCACTGGCCGCAGATGCGACGCTGTCGTAGCCACTTGTCGCCCGGTGCATGTCTAGAAAGCACATGCTGTTAGTATGAAACCATGACGAATAGCTGGCGACGCCATTGGGGCTGTGAACAATCGATTACCTCCCACAGAATCAAACGACCCCCTTCGGTTCCCAAGACCAGGACATCACCATTCTTGCCCCCGGCAACAGCAATGCTGCGAATGCGCTCCGGGAAGGGAACGGTGGCTTCCTGGTTGCCTTTCTCCCTGCTATACACATGCACAATGGCTTTCTCGGACTGCGCAGCGAAAACGTGAGACGGACTCACGGCAAGGCAATTGGCCGCCGTTGAGCTCTTCTTGAAGGTGGAGCGCAGGTTCAGCGTGGGCTGGAATTCATGGACGCAAACTCCCACATCGCGGAGGGTCGCAGACGCTGGCGCTTTGCTGGACGCCAGCGTCGATGCGATGAAACATTCAGAAAGCATAAGGAACTGCCACCCCAGAAGGTTCAAATTTGCAGGAGGCAGGGAGAATGCGACGAGCCGTTAATTTTTTGGAGACGCAAAATCCACGAAAATGCAATAAAATAAAATGAGGAAATCGAGGCTCCAATCGATAACCGGGATGTTTGCATGGTTTGTCTGCAAGTGCCCGATAAGGAAGTATTGTGCATCTCTGTATGCATGCTTAGATAATCCCGAACAAGACGATCTATAAACCTTCATTAATTAAGCTTCGTCTCCTTCTCTCCCTCAGTTCAGGTTGACAGAGTGATACCCTCGCTGTCCCTGTCTTCAGCTCCCTAGTTCCCCTGCTCTCCTTTGTGACTGATTTACCTATTGAAGCTAACACTATCCCTTGGTTGCCACTAGCAAGCCATCCATTGTCGACCATAGCACTCTCAGCGGAAGCAGATTGACTGAGCCACCATCAAGACCGCATCTGGAGATTGAAATTTGCTTGCCTTCCCGTGGTATTCAAGCCCATCATGATACAACTCAAATCTCCGCGGCCACAGTCAAGCTGGAATTCCTGCACATGCTGCTTAAATTAAATTTCGCCTATCCCTCAATCAACATGAGCCTATCGCCGGCGCCCACAGCAACCCCATGCAAGGGGTGTCCCTCTAGGGGCTTCTTCTTTGATTGTCCGGCGCAACGCCTCTACTAACCAGAGAGCCTTGAAATCAGACCGGTGACGTCCTTTGAATGCCCTCCCAAGGCTCCTCCCGCATCCCTCCAACTGCATGTCTCATTCCTTTTGCTAATTAACGAGATCCAAGCACCCTGGGAGACGGACCACCCACGTTGTGCTGTCCCTGCAGGTGGCGCGCATTGAGAGTGCTAGCCAATGGCTGTGCACGCTATCTCCGCTCGCCTCTCTCTGGTATGCAAGGACGGTGGGCGTGGTCGCCCTTCACTTTTCGTCTATGTTCCAGAGTGTTAGATGACCCTCTCGAAGGGGGAGAGTACACATGCCCAGTGACTAGTTCCCCCGTCACCGCAAGGCAGTCAAGGGATACCTGGAAACCCATATTGTTATGTAGTATAAGGCCCTGCCGGCCGCTTTCCCGATCAGAATTGATGCTGCTCATTTTCTCTTCCTTTGCACATTAGTCCCGAGTAACCATAGGAAATCGATTGTCGCCTGATTGCATTATACCATTTACCGTGCCAGCCATGTCCTCCACTGACTGCCAGTCAGCCAGGGTGTTCCTTAACCCAAATAGGAACTGTCATCAACATACCATGTCTGCGAACCAGGTTCCAGCGTTCGCACCCAGGAGAGTATCATCCTATAATTCATTAGCGGACGAAGCCATGATCCAAGGAACTGGGGCTGCTGCTCCGCGCTATGCGCCCAATGTTCAGCCCTGGAGGAGACAGCAACAGCCCCAGAGCTCCCTTTCTTTCGTCCCCTCGACTTCTCCCCGGATGGACCAAGCCGAATATACTACAGCTCCGCAGCCACGTCGACCAGTGGAGCGTCCGCCGGTGGTCATGTCACCCTTTCGCTCTGTGCGCAGGATGAAACAACCCTTTCAACTGCGCCTACCATCTTCGCCGTCGCTGGAAAGCATCGCATCAGCTGCAAAGGAAGCCAGATCGTCGCGACAATTGTCTGGAGGCCAAACACTGCGAGCCTGGCGCTCGGACCAAAACATCAACGTCACCAGTATAGATTCCTTCGGCCTTCTCCCCAGTCCTCCTCTTTCCGATTCTCTGGGCTCGCAATCGTCCCCATCATCCGCCTACTTCTCGTCTAAATACGAATCCGAATCAGACTATGGCCCAGCTACACCAAAAGGTTGCGCCTGTGTGTCCGGAAAAGAAAATTGTGATGATTGTGGTGCTCGAAAGCAGGAGGCTCGCCCAACAACCTCGGCGCACGACGAGACAACCAATGTACATATGGCGCACTCCATATTGGTCAAGCAATGCCGGCCAGCTGATGCGTCGTTGATCGCAACGTCCCCCAATCCAGAATGCATGCCATCGCCCGTCCCCTCTGCAGATTCCGAGACATTTGTGAGGCGGAACTTTTCCGGGTCGTCAATGGGGTCCCAGAGAAGCAGGTCAGGAACCGTGTCTAGTGAGGGAAGCTGGGTTCCTAGCAGTCTCTCTTACTGTGGTGAGTGGCTTCAAGGCGCACCTGTGGAAACGCCTGGCTCCCAGGGCGAGAGGACTCGAGAACAGAGTCGAAGGAAATGCCAGATTGTACAGAAGAGCCCACCGCGGTTGAGGACATCACCATCTGATAAACACGAAGTAAGTGTTACTTGCTTACACTCATACCATGTACTGACGACTTTCCAGATCTGCACCGTTGCGAGGAAAACAAAGCCCAAGTTAGTCGATATCTCCCGGCAGTCATCTCCAGCAATGAGCTATTCGCTTCCAACTCCGCCACAGCCCGTTCCATCTACCCCGGATCTCGGACAACAGGAGGTATCAGCTTTCAGTCCGGACACTCCAATGGAGATGTCTGACAGTGGATATATCACTCATCCCGAGTGTCCCTCGCCCGATGACCTCCGGAACGATAAGGATGACGACGATGACTACACTGATGCAGGCTCTATGAGCTCAGAGAGCGTCGGCGAGACCATTGTATGCAATAAACCGACGCCAGCTCCGCCTGAGCCGATGTCTCCGCCCAAGCTAGAGAGACCACCCAAATTTAGCACATCACCCCAGGTCCAAGCATCACCTGGGCGCTCCTCGACCATGTCAGAGAAGGAGGAGTTAGAAAAGTGGTGGGATCACGAATGGACTATTGATCAATTGGAACATTCAGTGAAGGACTTCCCACGAAATATGCTTCGCTTAACTTCACCCGTCATCATGTTCATCCGTCACAACAACGAACGGGCACTCCTGAAACCCTTCCGCGACATCTTCCCAAACGTCGCGGAAAACCTATTAGGCGGCCTATGTGCCGCTTTGATCGCACGGAACTATGTTGTATCCCTGGCATCGAACAACCGAAGGATCAACAACTTCTCGCATCCCTCCCCCGTGTCCCGGCTAGATACAGTGCCAGAGAAGGTAGCTACCTCGCCAGGGATGCAGTTTAGTCCAGCTACCTCGTCTCGTGTCAAAGAACGTGTCCTAGGGTCCCGGAGCATGGAGCTTCGCAAAGAGCTGGACCGAATAGTGGATAACCTGCTCTTTGCTATATGCGGCAAAGCAGACGAGACGCTCAAGTCGGCCGTGTTTGTCCTCGCTCAAGTGCTTGAAACTAAGAACTGAGCAGCCATTCTTTACTTCCCAACATCAGTCTCCTTGGGTGACTGTCAATCACTATAGACATTTTTCCTATCTCTCCTTGTCTATTCTCTCCCACTATTTCCTTCTGTTCTTATATCCCAGTCCTGTCTCTGTGACCATATCTTTCCTTACTAAATTGGCTAGACCAGATTGCATAGAACCCTGTCTTTCGTTTCAGTGTATTCTATGAACTGTCCTTCACTTACATTTCCTTATCTGTCAAACTACATGCCTGGGGCCTGTTCTCTCTTGTATTTCCTACTGGCGATTGAAGTTTCATGTACTGCGTGCAGTTAGCCACTAGGGCTAATGTATAATAGCTAGTCGTTTCCCACCGAGATCTACATACAATGATATTCTCTTTACATTCTAATTCATCTGTCAATGTCCCATATTTAGCAAATGCGGGTTTTCCAACCACGGCCAAAAATGATCACGTGTAGGCGTATCTGTATTGGGGAAACTAGCAGAGATGATAAGACAACCCTTTCTTTCTACTTCTGCCTCAGCGCATTCCCTCAATTTCTCCACCCCCGCAATTCTGGTCTCTTCCCTTCTTACCAAGAAGCCAGTGTAGATGGTGCTTGACGCACTCGCTTAAGGGAGCCTCCCAGTTGGCCACATTTCTGTTTGCAGCAGCCCGGCGCAGTAATAAGGAGTTTCCATCAATACCAAAGGCCATCATTTGGCTCACATCCACGTTTTACAATGCGCATAGATTTAGTTTCAAGCTTCAGTCTTCGGAAGGTGCTGCAAAGTCGTCCTTATTATACCGGGTCTACCTTCCTCCCTATCCGCACCGCGCACCGCTTTTTACCACATTGCAGATCATGTACAGTATTTGGCAGTAGAATGACATTGGTGAAGGACAACAGCACTCCGGATATGATCAATAATACTGTTGAGTACACGCCTATCGAGGACGTTGAGAAACTTGAGCGGTACCGGCCAGGCGGTTATCATCCGACAACTATAGGAGATTGGTTGAATGGCCGGTTTCGTGTCGTGCATAAACTTGGCTTTGGCGCATACTCAACCATTTGGATGGCAAGAGATCAGAAAACTGAAAAATATGTCGCCGTCAAAATCACCATCGCAGACAGCAATCCAACTAACTCCCAAGAAAGGAATATTCTCCATCGACTTGGTATTGCAGAGTTGAAAGCCAAGACTCATCCCGGCAGCGCAATCATTCCATCTATAATAGACGAATTCACCATTTCTGGGCCTAATGGTGTACATCAATGTTTTGTCACATTAGTTGGAATGATGAACATAGCTGAGGCCAAAGATGCCTCATCTGTCCGGTTGTTCCAGTTGCCTGTGGCCAGGGCTTTCTCTGCTCAACTAGTCTTGGCAGTGGCATATCTTCATACTCAGGGCATTGTCCATGCTGGTAAGTACATTTGCTATTCATCGTGATACCTACACTCATGTCATGTCAGATCTTCATCCCGGTAATATTCTGATCCTTCTTTCTGAGAGTATGGACTCGCTCTCACCAGAGCAATTCTACGAAAGGCATGGACAACCTCACCATGAGCCAGTTACCTGTCTAGATCAGCGTCCACTTCCTGATGGTGTCCCCGCACAAGCTGTCGTGCCTGTTTGGCTCGGAAAAGCGAGCGAAGAAGTTTCGCTATCTGAAGCTCAGATGGTTGTCACTGACTTTGGGGAGTCTTTCATGCCAGCCACTACAGCGCGGCATCACTCCAACACGCCGGATATGCTAGTCCCCCCAGAGACTTATTTCGAACCGAAAAAGTCACTTTCTTTCTCTGCTGATAGTTGGACGCTTGCGTGCACCATCTGGGAAATAATTGGTTAGCGTCCACTTTTCGAGGGCTTTAATCCGTCAGTCGACTGGGTAGTCAAAGAACATGTTGATACATTTGGCAGATTGCCACTGCCGTGGTGGCAGAAATGGGAATCGCGGTCAAAGTGGTTTAATGAGGACGGAACAAGACATGGTGTTACAAATTCAAGGCCCTGGGTGCAACGATTCAACCAATCAGTTCAGAAGCCTAGGGAAGAATTCAATATGCAACCGATTGGGGATGCCGAAAGGACTGCATTTCTTACTATGTTGAGAGATATGCTTGCATTCGAACCGGAAAAGAGACCATCTGCGGAGCGGATCATGGAATATAAATGGATGCAACAATGGGCTCTCCCTGAGCTATCCAGGATGGAACAGAATATGCCATAATTTCAGCTATATCGTCTGTCTTGTTCAAACATCTACCCGCTTGATATAATAAGCGCAATTCTACTACGCCTCACCACGAAACATTGAGCTGTAGTCTCGAGCCATTGACATAACAATACTATATAATACTAGCACTACCTAGCACTGCTGGTTCTTGAAAGAAATAAAAGAAAGTGACTACTGCTACTAATGACCGGACTCCAGGACCATCTATATGTCAGCACATCATCGACACCTCAGGCAGATGATCTCGCTGAGTCATGAATCGGACGGCATCGCAACCGAAGCTCCGATGGCTATCAGCGACTTTCCCGCGGAATCCAACTTGCATTTCAACTTCTCCAAAGCACCGCCGCCTGTCTCTTCTCCTCACCCCAAACACACACCATGGCAGCCGCATCAACAAACCGTCTACGGCTCCTCTACACATCCACGAGGGCCTCCCTCCCTCAATCCACCCCCAGCATCCTCACAACCCGCACCTACGCCACAACCGACTCCTCCACCTCCGCCACCAGCACTCCCAAACCACGCCGCCGCACCGCATTCACAGACAAGCTCAACGCCGGCCCATCCTTCGGCGACTTCGTCTCCGGCAACAACGACAATGCGCCTCTCCTCGAACCCTCCGAAGCCTACGCCCTCGAAACCGCTCTCGTCGGCCCCGCCGGCCGCAAAAAGCAAATGACCCGTCTCCCACCCTGGCTGAAAACCCCCATCCCAGACTCCAAGAACTATCAACGCCTCAAGAAAGATTTGCGCGGTCTGAACCTCCACACCGTCTGCGAGGAAGCCCGCTGTCCCAACATCTCCGACTGCTGGGGCGGCGGCGACAAAGCCGCCGCTACCGCTACCATCATGCTCATGGGCGATACCTGTACCCGCGGTTGCAGCTTCTGCAGTGTCAAGACTAGTCGCAGGCCCGCTGCTCTGGATCCTCATGAGCCCGAGAACACGGCTGAGGCGATCTCTCGCTGGGGATTGGGGTATGTGGTGCTGACGAGTGTGGATCGTGATGATCTTGCGGATGGCGGTGCGCGCCATTTCGCTGAGACCGTGCGTAAGATCAAGTCCAAGGCGCCCAGCACCCTGGTTGAATGTCTGACTGGTGACTACCGTGGTGATCTGGATATGGTGGCGCTGGTGGCTAATTCGGGACTGGATGTGTATGCGCATAACATTGAGACTGTCGAGGCTCTTACCCCCCGTGTTCGTGATCGGAGAGCTACCTTCAAGCAGAGTATTGCTGTGTTGGAGGCGGCGAAGAAGGCTAATCCGGAGGTTATTACGAAGTCGTCGCTGATGTTGGGTCTTGGGGAGACCGAGGAACAGTTGGAGCATGCGCTGGCGCAGTTGCGTGCTGTTGATGTTGATGTCGTCACTTTCGGGCAGTATATGCGTCCGACGAAGAGGCATATGGCTGTGCATGAGTATGTTCATCCGAAGTGGTTCGAGCATTGGCAGCGTCGTGCTGAGGAGTTGGGCTTCCTCTACTGTGCTTCTGGGCCGTTGGTGCGCAGTTCTTATAAGGCTGGTGAGGCTTTCATTGAGAATGTCTTGAAGAAGAGGCGCGCTGGGGTTAGTGACGCTGTTACTGAGAAGAAGGTTGCTGCTGCTGTTGATGATGCTACTCGTTGAGATTTAGCTTAACCTGTTCTCTTCGAGCTGTGTACGATTTCTTGTGTTTGTCTTTCGGTTCATGGGCGCATGGTTGCATTAAATGGGGCTTATACTGTGGTTGTTTCGAGCTTCTGGTTTTAAGATTGGTCGGTCTACTTACACACACACATATTATCAACTACGACTAGCATCGCTAGGATTCATTAGGAATTGGGCCCGGGATGAGCGGGATGGGCTGGCTGTCTCAATCATCTACTACAGGGTCGTGGATAGAAAAATACTAATTCAACATGTATGGCATCCATTTCACGTAAAATAGAGATAGACGGGAATATTGTCAACATCAGCATCAGCCATCATCATGATCTCGCAGTCGTTTGAATCAATTCAAAATTCGTCCGTATGTAGCTACCCCATCGTCATATAGTAGTCGTATGCATTTGTACCTGCCCGTGTTGTTCCTCGCCTACTCCGACGCCCGCATGTAAACGCTCTCGTGCTCATCGTTCTAATGCATGAAACTATTTCCGCTTGGCTTCTCGAATTCGCATGATAGGGAAAAGGGGGTGAGGGAAGGGACGTGATGGTTTTGGTTTGGGCTTGGTCTGTCTACACATGCCAATCCAAAACCTTGGGGCCAAAGAGAGATAAAGGAGAGATAGATGTATGTGGAGAGAGATGGATAGGGAAATGATATGGGAATGGAACGGAAAGAAAGGAATCTATCCAATGGTGCGCGGGAGGCCTCCAATAACGAGTTGGAGGAGTAGTAGTAGAGTACGCACCTGGCGACATGTTCGCATGCTTGCCGCCGAGCTGACTAGTGGAAGACGCACGTGTTCGTGTCTTTCTACTAATCGCTTGGTCACTGTAATGGATGCTTGGTAGCATATTTTCAACTACGCAATCAGCTCGGAAATGTCATCCTTAGTCAGGCCAAGGAGGTAGAGAATATCCACGAGACTCTCGCCATTGAGACGGGTCGGTGCCTCGAGCTGCACCTTGCTCTTGGCCCGCCAGGCGACTCCCAGTCCCGCTGCGTGCAGCATCAGCAGGTCATTGGCTCCGTCACCAACAGCGACAGTTTGGGAGATAGGGATGCCATGCTCCGCGGCAATCGAGTGAAGAATCGAGCGCTTCTGGCTTGCATCGATGATGGGGTATGTGGGGACCAGTTTGCCGGTCAGGGTTTGCGTCGTAGGATCGATCTCGAGCTAATCAGGGTATTAGTACTTGAGCGAAAATACAAAATATTATCGATGGGTCGAATGTCGCATCACATACATGGTTGGCATGCGCGTAGTCAAGACCAAGTTGTTCGGCAAGCCACTCCGCAAGAGGCTGGAAGCCTCCACTCAAGACTGCCATTTTGCAGCCGAGGGTCTTCAAGGCCTTGCACAGTTCACGCGCACCTGGAGAAATGGTGATGACGGACTTCAGCTTCTCGAAGACGTCCGCAGGAACACCCTTCAGAAGGCTGACCCGCTCCCGGAGAGATGCGGAGAAGTCCAATTCGCCGTTCATAGCACGAGCCGTAATTTCCTGCCATTAATATCAGCATATACAGCCCTTTTCCATCGTTCAGCAAAGGTACGAACCGAAACCTCCTTCTCCACGCCGATAAACTTGGCAATCTCATCGATCACCTCGTTCTGAATCAATGTACTATCCATATCGAACACTACCAACCGCTTGTGCCGACGGAAGACGCTCTCCCGCTGGAGGACGACCTCCACATTCCATTCGCGCTCGAACCGCCATATGCTCTCATGTTTCCGCAGGTCCTCAAAGGTAAGGTATTCCGGGTTGGGAGGAGGCGAAAAGGTGACTTCGACGACGCGAGGCTGGTCATGACGATCCAAGCAGCGATGCGAAGTGTTGGTGCGCTGATACGGGGTCGGAAGGGTTTCGATGATTTGGAGGAAGTTGGTCAGGCAGAGCTGTGATACAAACGGGCCGTACAGATGGTCAAGCGGCTCCGGCTCTGGGGCGGGAGGCTCCCGTGGGATCTTCTCGATATCGACCGTCGGGGCGGAACCTACGGGTACCATGGGTGATGGCAGAGTTTGGCCAGACCCGACATGAGGGGAGGAATCGGGGTGCAGATGGGGATGGATAGGATCAGCAGATTTGTAGTAGATCGTAGCGACCAGCTGCTGTGTTCCAGTAGGCAGTTCATTGGACTGTTGGTTGAAGATGCTGTGGATGATGCCACTGTCGGTGACCTTCTCGGGATCGGGGCTAATGGGATTAGCTTTGACGGACAGCGCAGCAAACGCTGACTCGGGAGAATTGCCAATCACGTTGCCGATGGTCTGAATGGGGGCAGAGGGTTTGTACTGCTGATGATCCTGGATGAAGGATGCGCTGGACAGGGTCTGTCGCAAGACCGGGCGCGTTGGACGGCCGTTGTTGGTGGGGTTGGGCGCTGCCATTGTGCCGGACTAGAGAGTTTTCGGCGCAAAAGAGGAGAGAGGAGAGTTGAGTGAATGAGGGGTGCAAGTGGGATTCGGAGGTAGACGGAGATTGAGATTGATAGCACAGGGCGAGTATGCAAGCAGCGGATGATCCTCAGCAATCAACAGCGAATCCACCCGGTGGGAACAGAACCCTCGACACGCTGGAGCAGTCGGGAAGCAGAAGGGAGATACGAGAGCGTCTAGACAAGGTCAAAACGAGAGTCTGGCTTTGAACTCACGGCGAATTTCCCCTGCAGCTCCGATCGGCCGCACGTGGTGGGGGATCCCGTGCCCCTCGGTCACATGAGGTCGAGTCATGTGCCTTCACCGCCCGGCAGAACCAGGCCAACTTCTTCCCCACCCCAAGAAACTTGAAAGATGGAGATGACGATGATATCAATCTTTGGGGAAGGGGGGAATCATGGAGCAGAGCAAGCACACTCCAACTGCCACCATCGGTTTAGTATGACAAATAAGGGTCTATTCCCACTAGTCGCCAAGACAAATACAATGACACTAGATCTAGTCATCTACAAGTGTCTGACTCGAATCAGCCGGGTTTGTTTCCTAAGCAATTCATCTCCTCCAGTCCGAGGCTAATCATCAACTAGATCTGCACCTCTCTGGGGCCAGAAAACAGACCGGAACAGGGATACCATGCCATCATCAAGATAAGATGAGCAACGGCTACACGGACTTGCCGACCGGATGAACTTTGATGCCCTTCGCCCAAGTTCTTCACTGTTCCAACTTCACTGTGGACCATGCTGGATTTATCAGCAATGGCACCTGCGGCGGTTGTTTCAGTGGATGAGCTAAGCGTGTCCGGGTGCGCAGAGTCACCCAAAGCGCAAGTATTGCGTGATTTCCCCAGGACATGAGGAAATTAAATTTTTCAGCCCAGTCGCCCAATTGTGCAGGCGGTCACAGACAATGTCGTGATCGAGAAACGGCAGAATGACCCGGCATGTATGAGGGACTGAGGGCAGGAAGAACGGGTGCCCCCGACCCGATGATGTCGT